GTCCACACGGCGGCGTGCGCTGAAGCTTGCCGGTGGGCGTGTCTGAAACTCGACCAACAACCAATGACATGAATCTCCCGCCCCGGACACACAAGCACGCGGTTTGATTGGCTAGAGCTTGTACTGGCATATGATTTGATTGGCTGAGGCTTCCGTCGAAGCTTCAAAAGTTGAACATTGCTCAACTTTTGAAGCGAGCAACGCAAGCAAAGCGAAGCGACGCGACCACATTGCAGTTCGGCAAAGCGTTACATCACCCCATTCAAAGTGAATGGGCAGAAGCGTTGAAGCTTCAACGCACGCCGCCATGTGGACGGGCCGTAAGAGACATTTTCACAGTGTGTCCTCTAAACAGACACCCTGAAATTGGTTCATTTAAAATACAAAGGGAGCACTGTTATGCTGCCATATAAGTTGCACACTCAAACTGATGGGAGAATTTATCATCTTATTTTCTAATTAGAAAATATCTAAATCTGGAGTCTGGGATCCCATCCCATACATACAAGATGTTTATTGTCATGTTGCACCTTACAGTTGACTTTCATGTTAATAATTGCAGTAGTTGTGTTGCTTTAATATACTACTCTTTTAATATATGTTTATCTATTTGTTTACATGTCAGTTCTGTAATTATTTTTGTTTTATATGTACAATGAAATTGCAGACTGCAAACAGACACAGTTATCTGGCATCCAAATGGTCAGAATATGCAACAGGAGCCATAGGAATGAAAGATAAAATGCAAACAATATGTTTCAGTCATGGCATTAAAGGACCCCTGTAGGTTTGCCCTATTTATTTCACTTAAGTTATACTCATCCATTTTTAAATGTGACTTATATAGAAGCTCTGTTATTTGGTATCGAGAATCTAAGAGTTTCCAAAACTGTCAAATCAGGGGCTAAACTGATGTTATTCTGAACCAGACGAGATGGAGCTCCAGGAGTCTGTTACGATGGAATAAATCAGTCTGTTTGTGAACAGGAGCCACAGAAGAGGAGACTGTTCAGTGTCTCTGTAAAGTTTACAATCCTGCCGTTGAGCCGGCGGCCCTCGCGCGAGCTCCCTCATGGTACTGCTGTTATGAGGAGGATTAGTTCAGCTACCAGACTGAAGTCTGTTTCTATCTGCACTCACTCACTAATGGACCATCCCTGGGAGCCAACCAGTGATGTTTATGTAATTTAAATACTTTGAAAAAACATTCACAAGAGAAATAGTTGAATGTTCTGTTCTTTAATGAGCAGTGTATTAAGTTCTCACTGTGCATCCTGTGACAGTAATGTTGGTGTTCCCATGATCACCACTACGTGGCGCACTGAGTCATGAACCTATCCATTCACTGCACAGCTCACTGTATATCTGCAGCCCTGAAACCTGAGGACAGTTTAAAATCTCTGTGAAACAGATGTGAGGCCAATCAAAATGCTTCAAAATGATTAAGAACAAAGCTAAAAGTCATTAAAGCAAATGTACTTTTGTGCTGACAATGAAGTTTGTGGCTAGTGTTGTCATTTATTGAAGATTGTCATGTAAACAAAATGTCCTTTCCAGTTAAAGAAAAATGTATGTCTAAAACATAAATAGAAAATAAAACCTTGAGGATGGACAGATAGTTGGGAGGGGACTGCATTTAAAAACAAAATAAAAATCATGTTATAAAAGGAGTTCATACATTTGCATGTGCCAATTATCTGTTGTTAAAGTATTTAATGTACACACATGTGTTCATTAGTCCATGGTCTTTTGTGGGTTTTTTCTATTTCTTCCTTCCCACCATGTATTTTCCTTTCACTTCTTTTTGTTTGTTTACTTTGGAATCTTTATTTCTCTTTTTATCATGAATAATACACTTGGAAGCAGCAGGACACTTGAAATGGTATTGGACATAAAACAAGTAAACATTGAACCTTAAGGCATGTCTGATTCCTATACTTTATAATGTAAAACATTTCAACACACATGTTAGTTAGAAAGTGAAACAGATTGGGTCCTGACTGCTAAAGAATAATGGAGTTTACCGGTGAAAGCAGCCTGCTGTGCAGCATGTTGATGAACTGATCTGGGATCTGTCTGCCGGCCTGGGAAGCACTGATACCCCCCTGGAGGAGGGATGTTGATTTTATAAACGAAACGCCCGTCATTCAAAACCGAAGCCAATGAGACTGCATGCAACCGTGAAACTGTACACTGCAAGAAATATCGGCTCTACAATAAATCCCATGTGAAAAAAATCAATGAATGAAACAGAATGGTGAAATTGTACTGACTTTGATATAAAAGAAAGGTATAAGGGCCATGGGCACACGTTTACAAAAATGGAGGAAGATTTATTTTATCTTTTTCTAGAATTTAGTCAACATTTTCACAAAAAAGGTCTATATGTCAAAAATGGTGGCAAAATACAATTTCAGGAAAAAGTCGACATTTTGAAAATTAAGTTGAAATGGTGAGAAGAAAGTCAACATGTGCAAATTAAGGTCGACTTTTAAGCATTAGTGACAGGTTTATAAGTAGGAAACCTGTTCCTAAAAGTTCTTTACATTAAAGGTCTCATGTCATGGCCATTTCTACTGATCATAATTCCATTGTTGAGGTCTACTAAAATAGATTTATACTGTGCAATTTTCCAAACTCACATTGGTTTCTCATACAGCATCTCTGTAAAGTATGTGTATTCACTCTCTGTCCTAAACGGCTTGTTGGAGCTCCTGCCCCCCCCCCCCCCCCCCCCTGTGAGCCCAGTGTGCTCTGATTGGTCGTGACGTTGAGAGGCTCGTTGCTGCGAGGAGCAGACAGGCTTCCGTGTCGGCGATACAGCGAGAACAAGCGAAACTCATCCTGAGCACACACAAACACTCACAGCCGAAGTAAAAACAATAAGTGTGGCTTGATATTGAGTAAGAAAAAGGTTTATAACGCTGTGAGCATGGGTCTGCGGAGAGCATTTCTCCGCGATCCCAACGTAGTAGCCCGAAAAACGTTTACCCATTTAAACAGTCGTGGTAGATACCTTGTTTGTTTTAAACATCATAAATACACAAACAACAATGAATACTTACAGGTTGTGTACCCGAATCTCCCGCTGGCCCAAACAAAGTAGGAACAGCATCGTTCTTCAGTGCCCTACGCTGTACATATCCGGCATGAATCCTGAAAGGTTTGGGAAGCTTTGTTTCGTGAAAGGCTGGCAGAGGGTGTGGCCTCTGGGTATCCCCACGTCACAGTACCCAGGAAGTAAACAATGGAAAATGAGAAATCTCCAACGAGGCGTTTGTTAGAGTTTTACTCGCTACAGGGTGTACTTTGAGGGTGTTTGACTCTGCAGACCGTTTACATGCATACAAACCTTCATAACACACAAGGGGACGGGTAATAACCGGAAAAGCATGACATGGAACCTTTAAGATAACTTTGAGAAAAAGTAAAACAGTTTGAGGATAAAGTTGAAATATTGAGAATGTAGTCAAAATGTTTAGAAATAAGTCAACTAACTTGTCAAAATAAGTTTGAAGTGCCTACAGAGCCCTGGAGGGTTCATAGTGAGAACAATTAATAAAACGAGGCCACGTTTTATTAATTTGTGCGCACGAGATGTCATTCGTGGCCTCAATTTAAATAAAATGAGGCCACGCTTTATTAATTTGTGCGCACGATATACTTTCTCGTTCGCACGAGATCTTATGGTTAGACACATCGAACTGCCCGATTATTACGCCATATTATTAGTTTTATGAAGAAGATGTCCGGTCGCCAGGGCGTGTGTGTGTATGTTTGTGTGTGTGTGTGTGTGTGTGTGTGTGTGTGTGTGTGTGTGTGTGTGTGTGTGTGTGTGTGTGTGTGTGTGTGTGTGTGTGTATATAGTGATAGTGGCGTTCGTTCCGGTGCACTCCGACAGCATTTAGCACTAGCCTACATCGAGATTAAGGTTAAACAAACTTCTTTCACTTGGGAATACACATATGGAGTTAGCCAGATGTGTGTAAATTACTGTTCATGGTAATTTGAAAACAAATGCCGGTGTCGTCGGACACACACATACACCGAAACGAAACGTAAGTAACAAAAACAATGTCATATCCTTTTCAGTTTCACAGAACACAAATTGGGTTATTTACACATCATGCACCCTGGTGACCGGACATCTCCTTCATAAAACGAGTAATAGGGGGAATAATTGGGCAGTTAGATGTGTGTAGAGGTGTGTGTGTGTGTGTGTGTGTGTGTGTGTGTGTGTGTGTGTGTGTGTGTGTGTGTGGCTAAAACGTAGCAGCCTCAATCTCTATTCAGCTGTTCTAATGAAGGTAAACAAAGTGAAGGCGTATCACAGTATCTGCTCTCTGCGCAAAAGTATCTTGTGCGAACGAGAAAGTATATAGTGCGCACAAATTAATAAAGTGTGGCCTCATTTTATTTAAATTGAGGCCACGAATTACATCTTGTGCGCACAAATTAATAAAACGTGGTCTCGTTTTATTAATTTTTCTCTCTATGAACCCTCCAGGGCTCCGTAAGTGCCAGATAAGAAAAATAAAATCAAAGGAAGATTTTTTTACATTTGAGAAATAAATGTTGAGAAATAAATCAAAACACCATTTCAAGAATAAAAAAGTTGTCATGTCGAAAACAAACGTTAAACATTTGAAAGTTAATCAAAATAACATTAGCGTAAAGACTATAATCAAAGTTCAAATGAATTCTCTACATTTAAAATGTATTAAAAAATGCAAAATAAATTAATTAATTAATGAAAACTTTTGAAAATGTAAGAACTGCAAAGTGGAAACCAAGCACAACTGAATAATACATTTGCATCATAATGTATTCAATTTGCCTCCATAAGATTCAAGAGTTACTGAGATAAAACACCAGCATGGAAAACAGCGAACATTTTTTACAGTGTGCCCCGGCTGGCACAGTAGGAGAGAGAGAGAGAGAGAGAGAGAGAGAGGGATCGGAGGGGGGAGAGAAGGGGGGGAGAGAAGGGGGGGGTTGGTCTGGGAGAGCATGGTCGCAGGAACGCTGCAGACTTGCCTCGGTGTCTCCTCATTGATAACAGCTTCTCGGGAGCTCTCGGTGATGTTGCGGAGCCTCTCGTCAGGGGACATCTGACCCGGAGATTGTGTGCGTGTACGCGGGGAGGTTTGATCCACTGTGCGCGGTGCTGGTCGTTCGGCAGGACAGACAGAGGCACCGGGACAGCTGCGGGATCAGCCGGAGCTCGAGCTGCTGGTTCGAGGCTTCTTCTTTCGGGGATTCTCACAGAACAGGAGCAGAGATCGTGATCTGGAAGCGCGACGGCACAACGACTGCTTTTCTGCTCTCTTGTGGAACATTTATTCTGTGGCTTTTATATTTTTTCCACTGCGTAGCCTACCTCCTGTCTTGGAAATTGATAGCGACTTGGTGAAACAGTTTTCGCGGAGTTGAGTTTACGCAGATCTATACTGTGGATTTCCAGCGTTTATCCAGAACTGTTTCTCATTCAAGCGACTAAAGAGTGATCATATGGTGCAAAGTCAATGATCTGACTGTCAAAACGCAAGCTGTTTTTAAAATAACCGAAAGATACATACAATTATTACTAAAACCAACAAAGAAGCAACATTTGTGCGGGAATAAGAACGTGGACTCTCATCACAACATTTCACCCCCACATCCATCCCAGTCTTTAACCCTGAATCACTTTGGCTTCGCCGGAGTTCCAGAGCAGATATGCCGCAGGTGGAAATGATCCTCTTCCTCCTCACCATCATAGTGATGTGTGTGGACGGCCAGGACCCGGCGTCCAAGGTGATGTCCGACCGATACGCCGTCTTCTGGAACCGAACCAACCCCAGGTAAGCACCACGCTCCCCGGTTAAAGCTGCACTATAACCGGTTACAGTCGTTCAATAGTTGAGTGACTGTACAAACAGTGTGTACACTCTGATCTTCACACGATGCAAGAAACGCACTTATTAATCTAAACCAAACCTCACCGAATATATGTACAATTAAAAAACAAACGTGTTATTAGACTAATGTACAACCATGCATATCAAGATGTAACATTAGCTTTATATTACAACCTCCATGAACTACTCTTCGGCAGACATAATGTTGACAATTAAGCTTTTTTAATATTTCCTTTTGACTTTAACCTGTATTTGTGGTCTTCGCTGATGGATTATTGTGATTATTTGATAGACCTCCACATCTGAATCATCTTTGAAATACACTGTGAGAACCGAGCAGCATAAATCACACCTGACAGAGGAACGAGCCGTTTCCACACAGGCTGTCCGCTATTACGCACCATTACGCACTATTACGCGTTTGTGTACAGTGTTTGCTGCACGTTCCGGTTGCAAATTAGATATATCAGGAGCTGGCAGAGATGCATTCGGCTGAGCTGCGCTGGAATAACGCTGAGTCGCTTCCAGTCTGCTGCCATCGATTATAATTGACAGTTGTTTTTGTGGCAAATGAAGATCCATCATGTGACAGAGAGTACATTACACTATCATGCTGCTCTGCTTATAAAGTGAGTAGAAAGTGTATTTTGTTGTGTTAGGTGACTTAAAAAACTAACGGTGGCCTCCTGTTTTTACTTTCTAAACGTTTTTAAGACCAGGTATTTCTAGTTTAAATACTAAACTTCCCCTGAGGGCGGCTCCCCGTGTGACTCAGTGCCTCTATCTTGGCACTTGAGCACATAGTGATATAATGAGTGTGTCACTTAGTTTCATTAGGAATACATTCACTGCACGCTGACATAAGCTGGCTTCAGTTTCGGCATGAGTCAAAAAAGAAATATACTGTGTATCAACATTTGCTCTGGGATGAGAAACTGGTCTGCTGAACTGACTGTTGATGATACAAATGCAAATGCTGTGGTGGTGACTTCATAGGCTGCTGGAGTTCCTGCTCCGCCAAAAGACAGATATCTGAGTGTGATAACAGCTTTCTGTCCCGCTCGCAGGCTTGTAGGCATGTGGAAAAAGTACTTGCACTTAAGTAAACGTAGAAGCACCAGAGTGTAGGAATACTCTGTTACAAGTAAAAGTCCTGTAATCAAAATGTTACTCAAGTAAAAGTAGACAATTATTAGCATACAAATATACTTAAAGTAGCCTACCAAAATAAGTACTCATTCTGCATATTGGCCCATTTCAGAATAATATATATTATATGTTTTGATTTTAAGGTATGTAAAGTGTTGAACAAGCTGGTAAAGGTGGAGGTAATAACGTTGTATACTGCAGGGTAGCTTTTAAGTGTTGATTATATTTCACATCATTAATCCAAATCTGCAAAGTAGCTTAATGTATTAGATAAATGCAGTGGAGTAAAATGACATGATTAACCTCTGAATTGAAATGCAGTAGAAGTACAAAGTAGCACACAATTGAAATACTGCAGTAGTACACACATTTCTACTTAAATACCGTACTTGAGTAAATCCACTTAGTTACTTTACACCACCGCTCGCAGGTGGTTTTCTCTCTCTTGGCCTCCACACAGTTCCCAAAGTCTGGTTTCTTGGCTGCCATGCTCCCCCCCCATCCAAGTGTTACCCCCCCCCCCCTCCCCCCATCCAAGTGTTACCCCCCTCCCTCCACCTCCTCCGCCCCCCCCCCCTCCCGGCCCACGCTGGGGCGAACAATAAGGGGGTACACAGGGGTATTTCAGCCGCGGCCAAGGCCCAGCGTGGCGCTCGCTCTTGTGAGAGATCCACACATGCTGAGGTCACACACTTGGTAGAAACCAGGCGAGTTGCGGGTTAAGCAGCACAGAGGGGACCGTTGTCAGGGTCAAAACCAGGGCAGTACCGCCGGCCATGGGGCCCGGTGACGGCCCCGGCAAGGCACCCCGCCTGGGCTTTGTCTCCGCAGAATGGGGGCTAAATAAATGAGTAACTCTAAATGACTGTCTCCTTTTCTCATTCATGACTTTAATCTAAACCTGACCCCGGCTGTATAATGTAAGACAGGGCCGCTCTTAAAGCCTGGGGCCCCTGACCTGCAGCAGAACCTATAACAGTATTCTACACAAGCATGCGGGCCCCGGCATCCCTGCTGTTTAATGTATCCATACAGAACAGTGAAGCACTGGGAACCTGCTGTGGTACAGTCCCAACTTCCAGATGAGCTCCCCCCCCCCCTCTTCTGCCTCCTCCGCTGCATATTTGACCAAAGTAGAGAAAATGGCATCCGGAGTAGCGGTCCATACTCAGCCATTCATGAAATCCCCTACAGGAGCTCTGGAATTGAAATGGGAAGTGAATCGTGAAAAATGGAAATGCAAAGTCATTTTCATGGTTTTCTATTGTTTCAAACGGGGCTTAAAGGCAGCATTTTTTATAGTAATTTAGATAAACGTGCATCCATGTTTGCTGTGCTTTAATCTCAGGGAAACATCTTCCTGCGCTGATGCTTGTTGCAGATTAGGTGCAGGCGAGCAGCACTCTGAGCGCAGGAGGGATTTACAGCCTTGAGGATGGTTCAGTTTGAAAAGCTTCCACAGTGACAGCAAGCCGCTGCGCTTGTATAAGCTACTTAATAAAATTAAATGCAACTCCAGTATCACGGAGCCTTGTTAGAAAGAATCTAGATTTGAAAAAGGGAGTCTTTGTGGCTATTTTTGATGCAATTTAGCTATTTTTGATGCCATTTTAATGCGTTTTTTAAGCAAAAACAAGAAAAAGGGCTTCAGATAATTTTGCCATTTGGTATTTATCTGTAAAATATATTTGTTGCACTGTGAAAGCTCTTGCATTGTTCAGTCTACTCTAGAGTCAGTCCATTAGTGAAGTGTGCAGAGTTGCTATGCAGGTTTGGAAAGTTGTACAATGCTCCTACTTTGCATATACTCAAATGTATTTTCACAAACATCTGTAGAGTATGTGACAAAACTGTTTTGTGACTCCTTTTTAGTCGTAGACCTAGAAAGGTTTCAGATATTGTGATCAAAGAATGATGAATAGTAATTTGTACTGGCTGTACTAGAAGGTATTGCTAGCAGCATCTACAGCGTTTACTTATAAATCACATGAAGGGCTTGGTTACATGTTCTACTTCATGAAAGTTAATGCAGATTCAGTTATTCATGTTAATAAATAACTATTGTAAAACGATTTTAAAAGTAGATTTAGTAAAGCAATGATGATTAAGTACTTTTAAAGCAATTCACAATTATATAAACAATTTATAGTGTGCCTTATAAGAAGAGATTAAAGGAATTTAAATAAACAATTGTCCTGTTAGCGTGATCAAAATAGGGCTGCAACTCACGTTGATCATTTTTTCGATCAATATATTGATTGATTGGTCTATAAAGTGTCAGAAAATAGTGAGAGATGTCTTTTAACGTCTTGTTTTGTTAGTCCAAAACCCAAGAATATAACTTTTATTTGATACAAAGCAAAAAAAGCAGGAGAAATAACATATTTGAGGCTGAAAACAACATTTCACGTCATTTTCTACCCTAATTCAGGATTATTTTTCTGTTTATCGACAGTTAGTTCACTTATTCTGCAGATCTAGATCAATAAATAGCTTTTAACAACTGCATTTACCATTAATAGAGTCATTTGTGACAGCATATAAAGCCTGCATTAAGTAAGCTTTATAAGAAAGTGGCACCAAGACAAAACCCATAAAATAAAAACTGTAGCATTTCGTGGTGGAACAGCTCATGTAAGAAAAATGAGTCACAGATGTTTCTTGTCAGCTTCGCCGTCTGTGTCGGCGAACCAAACGATGGAATAAGTGTATGAGGGGTATTTACTGCTGCTCTGACAAGGAGCTATTAGTGAATTCCCAGCTCACCAGCTATTTAGCTGCTTCATTAAAACCCACCCGGGTCCATATGGTCCGCACGCAGCCGTTGCCGTGGCCCAAGGTGTTTATTTGTTGCTGATAGGTGGGATCAACAGAGAATCGGGGGCCGGGCTCTGTCCATAATCTCCCAAGCTGTTTGTGTCTCCGACGCCATGGAAACTGATACCCCTCGTCATCAAAGACCCTCATTGGGTGGGACTAAGGAGCTGACAGCTGGGGAGAGAGGGATTCCAGGATTCAGGGAGTGCACTGTCACCCCAGGGGTTTCCTTTAATCCCTGATAATGCCCATCCAAAGCTTCCCCCAGCAGATGCAACATATTTCTCCATAAGACAATCAAAGAATGGCCTGTTTGCATGTTTGATATAAGTGTGGGTATTATCATTTAAAGAGATTTTAAGCCTGGCGGGCCGATTGTTCCAGGACCGAGGACGTAGTGGAACAGGCTGGTTGGGCCAGCTTCTTTGCTAATAAACTTCTTGGCATTATAAACTGAAGCCATTTATATGACCTTAGATTAAGGCTGCTTTGCCAAAGTTAGGGTTAGGGTTCCTTAATTAAGTTGGACATTGGTCTAAAATGATCTTAAAGACTAAAATGTATCAGTGTTGCATAGGGTTGCAAAATTCCGGGAATTTTCAAAGATGGAAACTTTCCATGGGAATTAACGGGAATTTATCGGAATAAACTGGGAATTTTCTAAATTGAAGGTTGGCTCTTCATAGGGAACTTAAATATAGTTGGGGAAAGTATATTTTAGCATAATCTTGACTAAAACAAACAGATGCCATTCAAGTACACTTGAATATCCATGCCATAGCACACTGCTTACTGCATGGCTATTGAGACCACACCCCCTACAGGCACTGTGCATTCCTCCATCACATGCACAGATGAATAATATTTAACTCAACATTCCTGTTTTCGTTCTTCAATTAAACAAATAATTGTTCAATAAAATACTTTTAACATTTTTTTTTTTTTTAAATCTGTTGAAATGTCATGTTTTTTGTTTA